ATGGCCGTCTCTTGTATCCCTCAATCGTTGTTCTTTTATTGTGCTTTCTCCACACTAAAATCTTCTCATTCTCTTCCACTTCCAGTAACCTCCTTGCGTCTTAGTGGCATTATCGCCTTGGTTTACAAAAAAGATGACACGATTCCTCTGTTTTGTAATATGGTCTATTAGAAGGATACTTTGGATGTCATATGAAAATGTATATAAACGTGAAATTGTTTACCACAACTCTGGACTTTAAAAAGATGGCATTTTTAATGGAGACTATACGATCACATTGGAAATCATGGCACGTTTGGAGGGGCATAGACTGAAAATTAGGAAGAAGAAACATTCATGTTGGCAGTAATAAGACACAAGCTTCTATGAAAAGGCTTTTCGTCGAGATAGTTGAGTGTAGATTAGGTAGACTTCTAACAAAATCCAATAAGAGAATTAATATCACGACAAAACTTAACCTCCGACTCACATTCGGGGCCTTATAGCAAGAAACTTGTACAAAGGTTTAAGGATTGCATAGGGCCAGACATATGTTTAAGTTTTTATACCATTTTAAAAATGTCTTATCCATTATGGCAAAGTGTTCAAGTCTACTTAGTGTTTAGTGATAAATTAATTTCTGTCCAACAAGGGATCCCTGCGAAATGATTAGATCCCTTAAATGGGACTGTGTCCCACCAAAAGGTTCAGAAATATTTCCATATATTCATTAACTATAAAAAGTAGTTTAAACATATTTTTTTTTATTTTGTGGTCAGTAATATTCGAGACATTTTTCGAAAAAAATCGAATTTCCATATTCAAGAGATGAGCTACAATACTATCAATGTATTTCCAGTAGGTTGACAATTATTATTTTATTTTTCATTTCGTTTCCTTTCAGTTATGCTTGCTTTATTATTCAAGTTGACGTTATTTTGAATTTTGTATCTTAATTTTAGCAGTGGCCGAATGGTTAGAACGTTGGTTTTCCGCCTATGAGTCGGACTTCCAATATCGCTATGATCGATTCGTCAAAGAGACAACCTCTTGATAATATCAACCTGAGGAGACGATCCTGGCATGCAGAAAATGTCTGAGAAACAAATGGCGGCTTTTCCCAGGACGTGCGCGTGAAATTTGGTAGATGAAACGGTTTGGAAGTCGTCTCTGGGGTTGTACTGACACGAAGTCACAAATAATCATAACGAAGAGTTTGAACATTTTGGCTTTGTTTAGACTGGTTATCACACCAGATTGTGTCTTCTTAGAAACTCTAACTAAGGTATGCTCATCATACTTAAAGTATACACCACAGGTTTTCTCTGTGGGTATCTAAGAAGCACAAATATGTCTCATCAGGCGTTTACAACAGGGATTAGGTAGCCACCTTATTAGACAGACGTACTCAAAAAGGATCAGCCAACTATTTATACTGCGAAATGTCTTATGATGGACAGAATAAGGTACGGTTTAGCTTTCTATATTATGGATGAAACAAAAGATTGGTAAAACTTTTTAAGAGACGGAAATAAAGAAAGCGGACTCTACAATTGTTCAGCAAAATATTTTGTTCATATAAATCCATAGTATCATTATTCAGTCATAAAATTATTTTTCTGGTTTTTCTCACGACACGGGTGAGGTAAGATGTGTATTCCAGCATAAAAGAACGATTCCAGTTTCGATTAGATTAATATCAGATATATAGATATTTCCAACATTTCGGGACCGCTAACCAGATAAGAGATGTCGGAGAGAGCGGAACATGATGAACTTCTCATCCCAGATTACCGAGCGTCTGCTACATCGCACTCTCAATAAAAGACAGTGCGCTGCTAGTAGAATTGCTTTCTCAAAAACAAAAAAAACAAAAACAACAACAAAAAAAAAACTTTTTCTTCGTTGTGTCATTGAAACGAGCCACTTGATCTCTTTAGTATCCGGCAAGAACAGTTTGTTCAGGTTCCAATATTTTGTTTTAAATCGCAGAACATATTTTCTTCAGCAGATTACATTTAATTTCAAAGGTGGGTGCTCCCCATCCAAAGATCATGTTTTTTTCGTTGTGGATTCTCGTAATGTGCACATATATCATAGAAGTGAATACTTTTGTTCTAAAATTATTTTGTGTACAAGAATAAAATACAAGTCTTTAGACGCTAACTGATACTGATTTTCGTCCATTCACATGGGCACATCTTTAAATGCAACGGAGAGCGCAGTAAACTTCAAAGATTTTCATCACACTATGAGAAAGACAGTGTGCAATTCAGTGTAGAGTAATGGTTAGCAGGCTTGTCTTGCTAGATCAATTGTGACTGAGTAGTGAGTTCGATTTTCACTGGGTGCTCCATATTTTCGGCCTTGTGCCACATCTAAGCTACATTTAATAAATCCCTATGGGAAAGAATGCACTGAATACTAAAAGATATTATAGGTATAAGATGAATTAAATTACATTGGTTTTGTATTAGACTTTCACAAAAGTGTTAAAAGAAACAGGTCATGTTATTTTGAAGAGGACACACATACACATATACATATACAAACATCCAGTAACGGTTGTGTTTCGAATTATTCTATGCGCTTTTGAGTGGAAATGATTGTGGATCCGAATGCAGTTTTTTTTTTGGCTATTTATAGTGTTGTTACCTAACTTTATATATATATATATATATATATATATATATATATACGTCGTCCCCCGGTCGCAGTGCCGACTGTGACGTTCTATCCTGATCTACCACGGCGCCAGTTGTGACGTCCCCAAACAGCACCAATTGTGACGTCATCGCCGCGGCGCCAGCTGTTCGCTCCTCGCTGCTCCGTTCGGGTGTCGCTGCTCCAAACGTGGCGTCCGCCTGTCGCGTCAGTCGTGTTGTCTCGTCCTGTGACGACCAACTGGCTTGGTATCTGTCGCGGCACCCAAATGTGACGTTCTAACCTTTTGGTGATTCGGGTGGGAATCTGGTTAGATTTGATATCAGCCTCGTCGTTCCCAACTCGCTTCCAACGCCTGGTTACCAAGGTAACTGCATTGATCTCCAGTCTGCCTACCCACGTTTTGAATTGATCTTAGACAGACGAGATTAAACAGTGGTTGGGGCCGTAATGCAAACTGAGTTCAACGGGGGTGATACTACACATATATGCATAAAAGAAAATAAAATGAAAACTCAAAAAGTTCAAAGTATCAAAGAAAAAGGTAACAAACTTTATATCTAGTTGTTCGATACATAGGACTGCATCTATCTCCCGACCCGTTCTGTGGATTGTGACACGTCGTTTTCCGTTAGGCAAGTTTTTAACGCTTCAAGTTGTTTGCTCTCTAAGAAATTGGCGTTTCGGTGTGTCTTTGGACGAAAGTCGAAAAAAACTTATTTCGGTGGTCTGGTTCTGAGTCGCTCTTCAAAATAATTGTTTTTGGGTTGAAGAGGAGTCCGGAATTTTGCGTGAATCTTGGTCAGCTGAACTCACTGGAACTGCTGGAACTCAACTCTGGAAACTCAGCTCTCCGCTGGAGCCCGAACTCTCTGATTTCTGCCTGTTGGGGCCTCGCTTTTATTGACGCCGACCAAAACCGGGGTGGGTCTGTCGGCGTCGGGGGTTTCCTCGATAATTCTAAATACATATCCACCTCTTTTCCATTTTTGGGAACCTTTCCTTACTCCCACTTTCTCACCATACTTCAGAGGGCGTGAACTGCCCTCCGCACTTCTTCGTAGCAGCTTCTCATACTTATACTCTGGATGAGGCGTCGACAGCCTCCTTCGTGCGTCACGTGATCACCACTCGACCAATGAGGTCTTAGTCGGGTATCTTTCCTCCTCTTTCGTGCGTCACGTGATCACCACTTGACCAATGATGTCTTAGTCGGGCGTGAACAATCCGCGGCCTTGTTTCGGGGAAAAAAAAATATCTTGCTTAACTAAAAAAAAATTATCTCTTCTCTTTCCATTTTCTTCCGCTTTAATCGCCGTTATCATTTTTCTAGCCGCAAACGGACAATGTGACAACTCTTGTTCTACACGTGGTTTTTGTCAGGTATTTTATCGCTAATTATCAAAATGGGTGGTCTTCTAAACACGGCCTCAAAAAAGAAATATCTCTAAAGTTTCAGTCAGTCTGTCGCCTCCAAGGAAGAAGAAAAAACACTTCTGGGTCCCCATTCATTTTCCTCCGGTACATATTTCTGATAACATAATTTTATTATCGCAGGCCAAAGTTGTTTCGTCGCAAAAAATCGGTCAGCGGACACGTCTTGTGTGGCTTTTAATTTTTCATATCTACCCAAAGTCCTGTAGTTACACCTGTGTTTTGTCAATTATCAAAATTAACGTTTTCAATTGAATTTTTCGTTGGCCAGTCGAGCAGCCGTTTTGTTTACGTACTCCTAGATAACACAGCCGTTATCAAAACACATCTGTTTCTTTCTTTCTTTCTCTTTCTTCTTACTCAGAATTTCCCTGTCATTGTAATGACACCCTTTCGCCATGGTTACTTATCAATATATTCATTGTCTCTTAGCCGTGTGTGTGTTCTGCTGATCACCCACGATTCATCTCGCCTTTCTTTCTGCCTTCTTTTCTTTCTTTTCCTTTCTCTGCCTCGTAAATGGTGCCACACACACACACACACACACACACACACACACACATATATATATATATATATATATATATATATATCAATCAAGTAAAAAAACAACGCACTTGACTTGACGGCTGGTTTTAGCATGAAACAGACTGTCGCCTCTTGGTGCTGATTTCAATGTCCACTTTTATATTTAGATACGCCATACCTTGACATTTAGCACTTTAACCCATAAATATGGCATAGCTTTAAACTATATTTTATCACACACACACACACACATATATATATATATATATATATATATATATATATATATATATATATATATATATATATATACGATTAATGTATTTATTTTAATCCGGCATTTTTATTACTTACGTTATTACATATTTTTATCATTATATTTTATTATTCGGCTTACGGCCGCATCACATTGAAGCATCAATTCCCGTACGATCCCCGAAATTAAGCAACGTCGAGCCTGGTCAGTATCTAGATGGGTAACCGCTTGGTAATACCAGGTGGTGTAAGCGTAATGGTGGTGTAATTGATAAGGCTCAGAATTGTTAATCGGCGAGCCAAGTTCCAATTCTTGTTGGGTTCGTTCTATTCACTTACGTGCAAATACCCCAGGTACTGTCCAGGTTCGATGTTGCTTAAATACGGGATTCGTACGGGAGTTGGCTTTTCAACGTGTTATGGCCGTAACCCAGATATTCTAGACTGGCGCTACAGAATCAGAAACGAAGAAAAGTAACAAATAGCAAAGCCAGCATTACTTGAAAACTTCCAACAACCGCAACTACTAAGGTGTAAAGCACATGAATCGAAATGTGTCAATAATCACATAATCAAGACGTTGCCCTTCCACACTATATTAAACAAAAGGTTAGGAAGGAAACTCCCATCAACAGATAATAAAGTGTGACAACAGTGGAGTTGAGAAATTTTTCTCACCTGAAAATCTGTTTTAAGATAAAGATAAATTTCACATTAACGATAACATTGAATATCGAATGTTTCCTGGATTGAAACGTCTGATATCACCATTATCATTATCGCGTATATATAAACATGAACTTCTTCATCAGCTTCAAATACTTGAAATGCTTACTGTCTTCCTGTCAGATGAGTAAGTAAGCTATTTATTATACAAAAGAAATCAAAGGGTTCCCTTGTTTTAACATCCAGGATTTGAGGTCAAGGAAATTTCGTTTTGGGTTTACCATTAACCACCTATCTCTTGATATTACTAAATTAAGCTTAGTATGGCACAAGGTTAAGTGATGAGAATAAAGGTTTTCAAGGGAGACGGATGTACGTGCTTTGAAAATAAGCATTCGTAACCATCACTTTTTACTAGCGTTAGTGAGAAATACAGAGGTAAATCATTATTAGTCATTTCTTGTTTTTAAGTATTGTCTGAGAAATTATAAATCTGCCGATCGTACCATTAAAACATTTATTCGTTCAGATGCTGTTTGTTTATTCTTGACTTTGATATCTATCTCCTCTTATTAGTAAACAACAAAAGCTGCTTTCATTGATAATGTTCTGAAGATGATGTAAATAAACAGTAAAATATTGCTGTTTGTTAATCAAATACTGATTGATGTTTATCAATCAAATATTGAGCTCCTGTAGGTATGGATGTGGGAATTATTTTCATTCTTGAAATCTAAGACCTACCCTAATCTAAAAATGCTATATTTCTTCAGGAATTAAGTAGGCTTACGGCCGTATCACGTTGAAACACCGGTTTCCGTACGAACACCCAAGTTAAACAACAACGAGCCTGGTCAGTAACAAGAGGGGTTAGCGCTTGGTGGTGTAACTTTGGATGTGCGTGTGGTGTAAAGGATAATGACTCAGAAATGATAATCGGAGTTCCAATTCCAGTTGGGTTCGTTATATTCCCTTACGCACAGATACGCTTTTGAAAGGTATGAATCCACCTCATCCGCCATCTATAGGTTAAATAGTAAGATCTGTATCACTAAAACCATTATTACCTCCCTTAAAATTCATAGAACCTAAAAATATCTGGGTTTAAATAACCTGCACGGGGTTGATAAAACGTAAAAAATGAATCAATCACCCAGGAAATAGGAGGGGATGATTCTTTACATATTTCTTTATGTGATTATCCGGAAATTGTCAAAGACTGTAGTTCTTTATTTGTTACCTTTTTGCGGTTTGGAACTCAGGTGTGTTTTTCTCTAAGACTGATAGCCATTCATCTCAAGGCCACTCAGTCTATTTAACAATAGGATTCATGCCTTCCCAAAGTGCATTATACTGACAGTTAATGCAACAGACTATCCCAAAATTTGAACTCGGCTCTCCGTGTTCACATCTCGTGCCAATATCATTAGACTACCGTCACATCCCTAAGGTACACTTTTATTTCTATAATACAAATACAACGAAATGCTGACGTATTGAGAAATACAGTGTATATACATACACACGAATGAACAAACTAACATACATCTATCTTTACATACATACACTTGCATGCAGAAAGTTGTGTACACTTATATATGTGATATTAGTCAAAATTATACACATACACACACATGTAAACACTGAGATTCGTACAGCAATATGTACCCCGTGACGCGTCTAAATGCTTTTAAAATCGTTTCTTCTCGTCTTGCATCTTTGGCAAGGCCATCATCGGTCAGTTATGATTGATGAGAATACGATTATTACCCTTCCCGGCATGCACCATACCAGAAAACAAAGCAAAATTTTCGCCACCCAGTCAATACTTGTTCTCTCAAAACCCAAACTGAAAGCAATTCAAAGCCCAATCGTCTGCTTTCCACCCCGTCCCCGAAGCTAGACGAAAAATGACAAGTAAAAGAAAAAGAAACAAAGCAAAAAAAAAAAAAAAAAAAAAGATAAGAAAATGAAGAAAGAACAAAGAAAAACTAAGTAAGAGAACTAATAAAGAGTAAACTGTGCAAAAACAAAGGAAAAAAAAGAAGGACACCATAATAAAAACGAACGGAAGATTTGATCAAGAAAAGCAATAGAAGATGAGGGAGTGGGGAAAGAAAGAAAAATGGCGAAAATCGGAGGATAGAAGGTAAGACGTGAAAAAAAAAAATAGGACGATATAACAAAAGGTGGTAAATCTAAAAAAAAAAAAAAACAACAGCAGAAGAATGCAGCAAAAACTAAAAAAAAAAATTGGATGAGGGTAAGAAAGAAAGAAAATGCGTAAAAAAGTTGCAAAAAACAAGGAAAGAAACATTTCAAATAGAAGAAGCAAGACACAGTGAAGAAATCAAAGTAAATGGGACAGAAAAAGACGTAAGTTATGCTATGTAGAAAAACAAATAAAATATAGGGAAGGAATAACGTTAATTTCTACTAAGTTATAACAAGAAATAAACTCTTAAAAAGAAGAATGATTGAAGAACAGTAGAGTAGCCATGTTTAGAATAAATCGCAAATGAGAGAGAATGAAAGAGAATGCTAAAAACGAGAATTAAACGAGAAAAAAAAAGAAGAAAAGAAAAAGAAAACGTAAAAATCAGACAGTATGGAGTGTGAAAAAATTAAGTGAATGATAAGAAAATAAGAAAAAAGAAAATGCGATGAAAGCGGAAAAAAGCAATTGAGAACGGTAAAGAAAGGAAGAAAATAAAAGGTAAAATTAAAGAAGGTATAGAGAAAGGAAGGAGTAAATGTTTAAAAAAGGAAAAAAAAAACAATAAGTAGGAAAGAAAAGAGATAACGTGAGAATAAAAGAGAAAAGAAAAGAAAGGAAAAAGAAAGTTAAATTAAATAAAATAAAAATAAAAATGATCTGAATAGAGATGAGACAAAAAAAAAAAGAGAAAAAGAGACTTCCCTAATAGAAGTGAATGTAAACGAATTAAAAGAAAAGAACTCTTTAAGAAAAGAAGGAAGAAAGGAAAGAATTAATGAAAATAGCAAGGCGTATCCACAAAAGTTTCGAGCATGAGGAACGGGGTGAGCTAAACATGATAGAGTTTGATTGGAGTTTCGATTCTTTGAAAGCGTTTGTTGCTTGAATGAAAAGACTCACCAGACTGGAAAAGCAAAAGCTAACCTTGTTCGTTTCTAGTTACGGCCACTGTGAATAATTCACGGTATGTAATGATTGCCAGCTGTAAACTCATGTACTTACACCGCCATATGTATGTGTGTGTGTATGTTTGTGTGTGCATATCTATGAAGATCATTACATCCATCTAGAGACCTGCACTGCAGTAGTACTTGAGCATTCTTCGTCTATGTGTCTTCAGGACGGGGCTGGTTATGGCTCTCTACAACTCCGAATCCCTTGTAGCTCTTACCAACGTCTATCCCTTTGTCACAGCTCCACCAGTTAGGGGGTTGGTTCGCTACCTTACCCTGTCTTATTCTCCTTTGATCTGTCCTTTCTGGTCGAGGGTAGCCATGGCTCTCTCCAACTACTTATTCCTTGTAGCTCTTAGCAACGTCTATTCATTTGTCAAGATTCTCACGACTTTTCCACCATTCATATACAGAATCACATCAGGTAGTTAGTCCTCTGTCTCTCACTGTCCAATTTTCCTTTGATATGTCCCTGTGAGTGGCAAATTCTTCATTCCCTCCTTCCTCATTATGTGTCCAATTCTTATTGTAATTGTCATTGAGCATAATAGATGATAATTTACAAAGCAGCTAACACTTCATTAGAAAATTGGCGTAGCACAATTTTCATAAAAATAGAAAAACTTGTATACCTATAGCATTAACGATACTGGCACTATCTCTCTCTCGTCTGTGGAGATGACAAAGAAATAAAAACTAACCCGGAATTTTAATTCCGTGCTGTTTAGTCCGATGATGTCCTAAAGGACGAAATGTATGACAGAAAAAATAATTTTCAACTTTGTCAAATACTTTCCTAAATTTCTTCGTGGACAGTGATGTCCATATCGAGCGGCGACTGTTTGTTTCATGTTTAAACGTAATCATCAGGCCATTACGTTCAAGTATGAAACAGACTGTCGACGTTCGGTAGTTGACCCCCTTAACCACTTTTATATTTAAATACGTTCTCTCCTTGATATTGAGCACTTAACCATAAATATAGCATACCTCAACACAAAAAATCCTTAGTTTACATTGTTATGATAAGGCACTGTATATCGAAATTCGGAATCGTTCAAATTCAACAATCATTGAAGCCATGCTTGTCGATCTATAGCTATGTTGCTTTGCCCACGACTTCCGTGTGCTCGTGAACCGACTCCCACAACGTGCTTTATTCGGTTAATTGGAGTCAGCCGAAAGGGCTGCTGGTGGTTAATACAAGTGATAAAGAGATCTCATCACGCCCATCCTGACAACATGTAATATATTTCCTAGCCAATCAGGAAAGTTGGCAGTTGACTGGGCCAATTGTCGAAGTGTCTGCAAGGACGCCGTTCAAATCATAGAAGAAAGCTTTGTCTAGTTAGCGGAGGAGCGCCTTCGAAGACGTCACAGTGTCTTTCCTCTGATGAAACCTGGGATCTTTGCGGATGCCCTACTTACAGAAAAGTGTATCCTTTCCGTGTTGGTCTAATCAGCTATACACAGCCATCTTGAAGGGATTCGACTTTATCTGAAAAGACAATCTACATCGGCCACGTAGGCAATGTTTTATCTCTACTGAATGAATGCCATGCTTTTTTTTTTTAGCCTGGACTTTAATAATGTTTTACATTAATAAATTAAATATTTCTGGCATTAGAGGGAACGTTTACTGATTAAGCAGACAATCTGGTCATTTTTTGTTCTCTAAATTTTTAAAATATTTGTCAGCATATATTGTGTATATTGCGTGTTGAATATAAAAATAAACTGGATTTTCTTTCGTCAGAAATGTATTATTTGAAGAATTTACTAGAGCTAGATTGTTTAATTATAGTAAAAAATAAACGACACAAAATACGAAAATAATTAAAAGGTGCAAAAAGGGAAAACAGTCACAGTAGGTGACATTATAAAATTAAGCAAAAAATAATAAAATTGAGGTGACTGGTTATCGTTCGTCACTCATCCGAACTGGATTGAGGTATGACAACCGACAAAAAAAGGAATCAGGTAAAATAAAAGTATTACTTATAGAGCGAATCGGGTTATTGTAGGCATAACGGTTGTGTTAATAAATCGTCGGGGTACTTCAGGCACCAAGTAGAATGATGAATTCTAATTCTGTAACGTAATAACAGAACAAGTAATAAACTTTAATCGAAGATGTTTATGCCAAGCACCAAAAAGAAAAGAAATAAAATTTATTGATAAATTTTCAAATACATTAAAGATTATGAATTTAAGCTCAGTACTAAATTGGCGACGAGATCTCATCATTTTAAATTTGAAATGGTTACATGTAACTTTAAGTTTTATGCTAACAGTTTCTTTTCTCGCACTTCTTGCTTGTGGAACTCCAGTCTTTCAGTCAAGTTTGTTATTCAAAAATTTGAGTGCATTTTCAATCGTTATTTTTTGTCTTCTTAAATTAAGTTCTGTTATTTTTCTTTCTATTTAATAAAGTTTTTATTTCTTCATATTCTTTCACACTCAGTAACCCTCTTGCGTCTTAGTGACTTTGTTGCCTTGTTTGGAGTGAAATGATTAAAAAAAGAAAAAAAATACATCAGCTTCCAAGCAGAATTCTAATTCTGTGACATAATAACAGATCAAGTTAGTTTTTTAGTTATATGCCATGTGTGATACATGACTGACGAGGCAGATTTTTTTTCTGCAGTAGGTTGCCATTTCTTTCTGCGGTAGACCAGTTGCCATCCAAGGTCGGTCTCTCCTGCTATTTATCCATAGCTGGAGGGAGAAGAAGAGGATTCATATCTTTCTCAATGGTATTAACACATAAGTGAATGGATTTGACTGAAATTTGAATTCGGCTTTCCTCTATCCGAGCCGCTATCCATTACTCCACCGTGCCTCCTAAACTTTAATCAAGCACCAAAACGAAAAAAAAGATCTATTGATAAATGTTCAAATATATTAACGTGGACATAAAAAAGATCAATGTTCGATAGTTATATAAGTAATAATTTATAGTGATTTACTAAACATAGTTTAGTTGTGACGCAATGCTGATATTAAGGAGCACTCAGTGTGGAGGATCGATCTCACTTCTCAGCCGTAACTGACCTCGCGAGACAAGTTTGCAAACCGTTACACCATGTCGAGGCGCCAAAAATATAGCGATTTAATAAGCGTAGCTTTGATGTGGCACAAGGCTGAGAGTATGGAACACTTCAGTGAGGACCGAACCCGCTATTCAGTCGTAATTGATCTAGATATACAAGATACACGTTTTTAAGTAGACGTCCCTTTTTGTAACAGCGGTCTACCGGTCTAGAGATTAATAAGGAAAAATTGCTTTTGGACAGAAATCAAAAACTCTCTTTATTAAGACTTCTGATCACTAGGCCGGTAGATATTAATTTTGCTGTTTAAAAAAAAAAAAATACTGATTTCAACACGTTTATCTACTAAATACAGCATTTATAATAATAAAAATAATTCCGTGTTAAAAAAAAAAAAACTCCATTAATTGCTGACAGTTATATGAGTAATCTTAGAAAAACGAGGTTGTCTTAGCTGAAAAACTAACACATCTTAGAGGTCAGTGTTTACAACCAGGAGGGTTTGCTTTCTATTAAAGAAAAATAAAGTTTATGTACTTTAATGCTTTACACACGCACGCATAGGCGTAGAAATATATCTTTACATTTTTTTTTTTTCGTATTTTGGGCTCGATAGTAGACTAAAAGAATTATTTTTTATGTAGATAGCTTTTGTTTTGGATAATGTTACACAAAATAAGGAGAAAAGAAAGACATTATCTTAATCCGCACTACAAAGTAGTGCGGCGTGTTTTATTACTATAACGAACAAAACAATAAGAATAGTTGTCTGATGTTGGATAATTGGAGAAATCGAAAGAATTTAGGCAATTATGAATAGGAGGGAAAAAGCATTAAGAATGGAGAATAAGAGTGAGAGAGAAAGAGAGAGAGGGAGAGAAGAAGAAGAAGAAGAAGAAGAAGAAGAAGAAGAAGAAGAAGAAGAAGAAGAAGAAGAAGAAGAAGAAGAAGAAGAAATAAGATGGGAAAACCGAGGGAAGAGTGGGAATATAAGGAGAGAAAGAAAATATTGGCGAGAATCAAATGGTTGGGGGGAAAAACATGATAGAGAGGAAAAAATAGGAAATAAGCTATGGAGGAGAATAATGATGAGAGGGAAAGGAGAAAAGGCGGGAGGAACAAAAGGGGTGGAGAAGAATGATGATAGAGAGGGAAAGGCGGGAGAAACAAAAGGTGTGAAGGAGAATGATGACAGAGAAGGACACGGTGTGAGGAATAAAATTGACAGGAGAATGTGGATAGAGAGGGAAATGAAGCAAATTATAGAGAAATGAAAGGGATGGAAGAGAATGCTGAGAGAGAGATAGAGGAGAAGAAGGCGGAAGAAATAAAAGGGTTGCAGGAAAATAACGATAGATTAAGTAGGACAAGGCGGAAGGAATAAAAACGATGAAGGAGAATGAAACTTAGAGGAGGAGAAGGCGGAATAAATGAAAAGAACAGAGGAGAATTAGGTTAGCGAGGGAAAGGAAATGAAAACAGGAGAAATAAAACGGATGCTTGAGAAAGCTGAAAGAAGGAGGAGCAAGGAAACGGAAGAATAAAAGGCTGGATGGTATTGAATGTAAAGAGGGAAAGAAGGACAAGGCGGAGGAATAAAAGGGAGGGAGGGGAATGACAATAGAGTGAGTAAAGGGGATAAGGCAGAAGAAATGGTAGGTGTGGAGGAGAATGATATAGAGGGAAAGGACGAATTATAAAAAATAAAATGGGTGGCAAAGTATGATGATGGAGGAGAAGGAGGCAAAGACGAGAGGAATAAAAGGAATGGAGGAAAATGGTGAGCGATAGAGAAAAAGAGAGAGAGAGAGAGAGAGAGAGAGAGGGAAAAGAGAAGAAAGTGGTAGAGATAGCGGGAAGTTCAAGTAAACTGACGACTCAGTTGTAAGAAATAAAAATAAAACGTTGAATGTATAGAAATAGATAAATGTTTGGGTAGATTGCAAATCCTGAGCTCGTGAAAGCCATGGAATTGTCTTTTCCCTTTGTTAACTCAAGAGTAAATAACAGAGTAGGTTGGGATATCTAGCCATGAGTGGCAACCAATCCAAGAGAAGGAAAATTTTGAATTTCAAACCTAGTATAAGGTAACAGGAAGACCTACTATCACCTTTCTCAAGAATTTATTCGTGGTTAATACAGAAGAATTTATGGAGAGTTATAATCGCTTATGTTCTAAAGGGACATGACATTGAAAAGAAAAAATACGGTTAGTGTAACGGTTATCGACGTGGAAAGTTGGAATCGGCGGGCCGAGTTCAAATTTCAGTCAAGTCTATTGCATTCATTTTCACACTATGGCGCCGGTAAAGACATAAATGCATCTCTTCTCCCACCAGCTTCGGGTTAAATAGTAGGGTAGACTAGGCTCCCGGTCGTTGGGAAGGCTAGAAAACCAGTCTATAAATCTTGAAAAAGTCTTCTTTTAAGTTAAAACCGTAGAGAAGGCAATAGGAAACCACACCACTCTATTTCCCGATGTCAGCTCGTCCACGAGCAACCTTTGTAAACCCCCTTTCTGCGTGTTTTCTTTTTTTTTTCTCCTCGCAGATCGAACCTGTCTCGGTAGCTGGGGTCCGGTTAGACATGATGTTTCTAGCCAAGTTCTACAACATGATTCCTGGGTAAGCGTCATGGTTTAATTTCGGTTGGTATGCCTCTAATTTTTTCCAATTCTGGATTGGTTCATCAAGGGTGCTGGAAGTAAACGCTTCTGGGGGGACTGGTGTTATTCGCCTGATCCGAACCTTAGACTAACTCCTTAAGGGGTTATCTTGGAAGCAGACGCATAGTATCAGGGCTACTGTATTGCCATTTTGTGAATAGAATCTGAACACTGCTGCAGTTTCAGGTGGGGTCTCTCGATGCCATGATGGATTATACAGTTATGGTTTTGATTTTTGGGGATTAATCCGCGTTTTATTTTATTTTTGTTTTTTGCTACATATACCACTTGGTAGTGTTGCTCTCTCGTTACCTCGTCTCCTCAACTCCCCATACCATGAACAAAGATAAAATACACGGTAGAACCAGAACCAGACCATCCATACAGAAAGTAGACCCCAATTTCTCCATCCCTATCACTAACATAAAGATTTTACCATCGAACTATCCAGAGGTTAAACTACATCTCCAAGAGATCAAACTTGACCTCCTGTTCAGATACAAAACTAGTATCAACTATTCTATTTCGGTCCTTGACTTCATAATCCTGTTCTCATTAAATCGACACGGCTATGGCATTGGGGCCTATATCAAGGGCCTGTTCGCTTGCGGTAAAGACTCCAAAAACGGGGACCCTGATTTTCCATTCATGGTTTCCCTCATTCATGACATGCCCTTTGTCTTCACTTTCTATCGATCTCAGGGTGGTATTGCAATGGATGACAGAATAGTGATTGATGACACGCTCTCCGGTTATTCCTCAGTTATTGGGCACATTTGTGGAGATTTAAGCATTAATCACAAGGAATTGTTAGTCCATGCAAACAGAACCGATGAAGAAGGGGAATATTGTCTTGACTTCTCCATCGCTTATGAGCTGACCCAGATTGTTGATAAGTCTAGTTGCTTTGCTGATATTGGTTATCCTGCTAACACTTTAGACCGAGTCTTCCTTACCTGCCTTGATCAATATTCCAATGACGTGTTACTTCCCTTGGGTACCTCAAACCTTTCATTAATCTACGTCAAGGTCGATGCTAAATCAGAGTCTTCCTCAAATGTGACATTTTATAGGACAATCTACCAATATTTCAAAGCTGATTGGGACAGCTTCAAATCTCCCATTGCAGAAATACCTCTCTCTGCTTTCTTCAAAAATAGATCTCCCAGAACAGCCTCTCTCATTTCCGAATGTATCCGCGTCGACATAGATAGTTTTATCCCATAGAAAAATACGTCTTGTACTGGTTGCGCGCAGTTCTTATTTTGTCATGGAAAAGCAAAAAAGCAGTTACGTGCAGTCAGTCGAAGCCAAAATGAAAAAAAAAAATGGGTTTTTTTGGAAATCGCAATTTTTGTTCGAGGCAGACCGTCATAGCCCTCTGTTATAAATAAATGAGGTTACAACATCCTCGTTAGATAAGACTAAACTGTTTGCAATACACTTTGTTTTTATCTCTACGTTAGACTACAATGGCAATTTCTTACGTGAATTAACCACCCCCTTACAGAGCACAAGCTTTGTGCTATCTCTATCTTGGCACAGGAGTCTTCAACCTATCAAAAGCCTGGACTCTTCGAAATCTACGTGTTTGGATAAAATCCCTGTAGTTGTTTTCAAGAACCTTGGCCCAAAACTATCCCTAATCTTGGCAAAGCTGGTTAACCGCCTTTAACAAGATTAAGTTAAAGAAAATTAATGTTTTCAAATCCCATGGAAGATCTCTAGTGTATTACCTGTATAGAAGAATGCAGGTGAACCTTTGTCCCCATCACAATACCACCTGTACACCCTCCTTAGTGTCATCAGGAAACCGTTTTGAAGTTATCAACAAGAAGAAAGTTGTTCGTTACCCTAATAGAAACAACCTCAGGAGTAACAAACAGTATGATTTTTACTCCTGTAGATTCACTTCTAATATCTCTATCTATAAAAGGCAGGATGCGTGTGTGTGTGTAACGAATGCACGGCCGCAATTTTCGACGGATGTGCACCAAAATTTACATGCGCATGCTCCAAGTTAGCGGGAAGGCCAAGACTGACTTTGCATTTCCCAACTCCCATCGATAGTGGAAATAATCGATTTATTCATGCTTCTACGGCAGTTTTCATGTTTGCGGCCATTTTCTACTGGCCAGAGTGAGAGCCAATAGCTGGCTGCCACGAATAGGCAGGAAGATTCTATTGGCCAGCGTGAGAGCCAACAGCTGACTGACACAAATGTTAACTAGCATGCAAAAAAAAAAAAATCGATAGCTGCATTCGTCACAAGTGGGGAAAATTTAAATCTGCATGGCACTTTACTACAATTGGCTCATTCGCTTGCTTAAACTCAACGTTGATTCTGATTCCGCAGAACTGGGTTGGGTGTGAAAAAGTATTTGTTGTTAACATTCTTTTATCATTCGGTTTTTCCAGTTACGAGTCCTTTTTTAAAGCTGATCGTTTTGTGTTCATTTTGTTTAGTTCTTTTTTCGTAACAGATTTAATGTTTAGTATAGAGCTTAGAAAAATTCGCAGTGTGAGATAGGCAAGAAGTAAGGCATGTAGCAACATCAGCACGTCAAAGGGCACTCCTTTAAAGGCAAGGAAGGGCAAAAATATTTTAAGTCAAGTGATAGCGATTGCTGTATGAGTCGTACGATTTTTGAATCAAGCACGGGAAACACCGGGCCATGCTGCTAGTCTTACATATAATTACGCATATAATCAGTGAAGCGTTTGAAATTACGAATTGGAATCTCCTAAAGAATCTTCTCGGTTATCAATTCTTTCCTATCAGGTTGGTCTATGGAAGTCGTTGTTAATAGTCACTCCTCTGATGTATATGAGATCAATTCTGGTACCCACCTAGGCTCTCTTCTTGCTCATGCCCTCTTTCTGTTTTATATTAACGATCTGCCTAATCTGTCTAGGAACATCCTTAGATGCAATTTATACTTACTAAAGTATAAATGCGTATGATACCGCAGTATTTTGGAAATTGTGCCTGACTGAACTTCCTCGGGGTTCTGAAGAAGGTCGGAGAGCACAGCGACCGAAACGTTGTGATAACAACAACAAAGATCGGGGCATTTGTCCGAATGTAAAAATTTGTAAATAAGGATAAGTTTAGTAAATACCTCGGGGCATAGAGTGTAAAAGACGGTGTCTTCTAGTAGACATACGCATACGCGCACGCGCGGTGGACATGTACACATTCACGTAAAGTGATCATTAGAACAGAGAAATTTAAAGCATTAAGTAATGGAACGAACGGATCACGAGAGGCAGGCGTCCATAAGTGATCAGAGATTAAAGAAGAGAAAAGGGAGATAACTCAGTTTGACATGTTGTCTTCGATCTCGGGAACAAAACCAGGTCGCAGTAATTTGAAAATGGCGCTAGCTTGATTATTTCTTCCACTTCTCCTCTAAATGAATTCAGCAGATGATCGTGTGGAGTGAGGGAACAAATTGACAAAGAAGCTCCTTTTCAAGAAAAATATCTGGGATAGCAAAGAAGTCAAAAATAGAAAAAAAAACCTGGTTGAACGGGAAGAATAAATTTTGATGATAATTCGTTGAAATGTAGTGTAATAAAATAAAAGCTAATAAAATTTAGTAATTTTTTAAAATACAGGAAGTAAAAAAAAAATAAATAAATTAAAAAAGGACATCATTTGCACAAAACAAGTAAATGCTAAACAATTTTAAAAAAAGTTGGCCAAAATTTAAATCATTTTTCTAAATCACTGATTAATTAAAAAGAATAATTTTCTAAAACGTTAATATCAATTAAAACAATTTTCATTTTCAAAAATATTTTTTTGTTTCAGAAAGAGGAATTGTAAAATTTCCGATAATGAACAATTTTAATTCTTTTTTCTTCTTCTTTTAGTTTAATCTGGAAATGAATTTTACAATAATTACAAAAATTTTAATGTCCTTTTGTTCATTTGCCTTTAGTTGTCAAGAAGATTGGAGAGTGGAGATTATCTAAGAAAAATGTGAAAAGCTGAATGAGTTTAAAGTTGTGAGTGAGTGTTTTAATGGCAAGAAAAATTACGTGGCAAAATTCTTCTGCCTGAATTTCTTGAGTGAGGACATATCATTATTTACATGATTTACATTCAGACTAATATCCTCCTTTTTGTTGTTATTATCCCCACGTTTCGGTCGTTCTTCTCTCTGACTCTCTGCCGTTGTCTGTCGATCCGGGATAACCTTTAACTAATTTCAAAATGAAACATTTATTTAATTTCTTCAGTAGGCCTAGCGTAGAAATATATACGATATGGGAGCCATTAATAAAGAACGAAGGAGCAGCGATTGAAAGCTTACAGTGGCAGAAGTAGCAGTAAGAAAACAGAAGCGTCGAGGAAGGAGGTCAAGCGTAACAGTATGGTATTCAAAGTCGTGATGTATGTAGGTAGAATGTTTGCTTTCAAACTTCTTGTTCATGTGAAAACAATAATTTTCTGTTTTCAGCTTAGCTTTTTAAGAAATCAAGTGGTTTGACATCCTGACAATAAATCTCGTCTCTCTTCTTGAATGAGATATGTTAAAAATAGACAAGTGAAGTGGTGAGCTTGTATCCGTCCATCGGACAATACCTACCCATTGTATTAAAAGAAGTAGAGTACATTCTAATGACAGCAGTTAGGATTGAAGAAATCAAGCAATTTCTAATGAACTTGAATAGGTACATTTCTTTATTTTAGGCGCATCCTTTAGCTAACAAACATACACTGTGCAAAAAGATTTCAAATTTGCTTATATATAAATGCGATAATGGTGTTTCTATTTTTTTCAGGGTGATTGCGTCTTAGTTTTTAAACAGGAGAAATTATAGTTTTAAAAGTATAAGTTTTCGCACATTCTAATTTAAAAGAGGAGATTGGATTATTCCAGATTTATCTATGGCGCTATGGAGGGGCTGAAACCCCTCACCTTTCGCTGGAACTGACAATTAAGCAGAAGATTACATTGGGTATTTAAAATTAAAACAAAAAATGTGTATCGATCATGGACAAACCTGAGCCAATAAAACGTAGTGTCAAAAGAACGGTATTTTTTCCCATGACACCGGTTTTTTTTTTACTACTTTAACTCTTCGGCAATATTTATCGTTTTAAAAAGGATGATTAGAATTGGAATTAAACCATGATGAATGAGAATTTATACAATTTTTGGTTCTTGAGAATTTACAAAAAATAAATAAACAAGATTTATTTATTAAATTACTTATTTGCAAGAATAATTTTATATGTACAACATTCTAAAATGAATATAATTAGAATTAATGCAATGCAATATATATCATTTATAAAAAATAAATGTGAAAGTAATTTTTTATTCATAATTTTATAACAGTCAATTGGTAATTAGCCGATGTTTTGTCTACCATTCAAATATATAACATAATAAATAAAATGTGTAAATAAAGAATCTAATAAATAAATAGTGTTTATTAATTTTTGCCAATTCTCAAGAACAAAGAAAATGTATGAAATCAATTACACATATTTAGGCTTTATTACAATTCTAATCATCACTTTTTTAAACAATACACTTTAATGAAGAGTGAAGGTAGTTAAAAAATCTGTGCCATGGGAAAAACCGTCCTCTTGACACTTCATCTTATTACTGACACGTTAATCCATGTTTGCCAAATGTTTGTTATAGGATATCTAAAAAAATGTTCATATTATAAGAGAATCAGATAAAAAAAAATAGAATCTTGAAAACTTAATAGCTGATATAACACTCTTTTTAAAATCACATTTCACCCATAGTACGATTGAGCGTCCCATATATATTAGACGAAACATTTCTTTCAGTGCCAAGTCCCTTTATAATGATTATGATTTTCTACAGATTCTTTTATTTTTATTTTAATATCAATAAATTGACATGACTTCTTGGGAAAAACAAATAGAGTGGGCACTTGTTTTCTTCTCCGGAATTTTGAATTTAGAATAATCATTCTCTGAGACTGGCTGCCATCAAAGGCTAGAGAGTACAGCTTATCCTGGTATTTGAAATATAGCTGGAAAGAGAAAAAAAATCGTTTCATGCCATTTTAAATGTAATAAAAGGAAGAGAAAGTAAAAAACGAGACTGGGATTTAACTCAGCTCGCTTATTCTGCTTTCGACACCGGCAACCATTACGTTAATCGCACATCTAGATAAGATATCATAAAAAAAAATATTTCCTTCATTAAAAGATTTTTGACTACATTCTTCTAATATCTCTTGTTCGGGAATCTCCTTGTTTCTTGGAATACAAAGTATCGTAATTTCTCGAAAATATTACACATATTTTTTTTTACTGTAAATTACAGGTGCGTATTATAAATAGGTTTAAGCAAAAATATAAAAATAAATACGTAATTGTTATTCTAAAATAAGAAAGATATTATCCCAATTTTCATTTTGAATCCAACAATAATAATTGTAACATTTTTTTGTCATTAAAGTTATGTTTATCAGTAATCACATTTTTTATTTGGCGAAAAAATTAAAAAAAAAATCTATGAAAAGTCCAATTTTGAAGAAAAGAGGATATCAAGTTAACGATTTATTGAAATTTTTATCATCATCATCATCATCATCATCATCATCATCATCACTTTCTATTATAGAATCAATATCTAAATTGTCATTAAACAAATTATCATTCACAATATTATCTTCGTCCTGTTCAAAATTATCTTCGGCCTCTTCATTCTCTTGCCAAAGGATGTCATCTTCAGAGCCATCCATGGCTGTCGTGAGAGAGCACTTCTTGAAACCTCTCTTTATAACATCCTCGCTGACGGAATCCCCATTTTTATAAAAATGTTATATTTAACGGGAAGACCGCATGGTAATTTTTAACATTATTTTAGCCGCTTAGCTTCGATTTTATTCTTAATGTCAAGGTCGACAAAATGTCTTCGTAATTATTTTTTCTTTTTTTTTTTTTTTGACAAAATTTATAGATGCGTATTATACAGTAGGGATAGATATATTTCCCAATTTTTATAGAAATTACGGTATATACCATACTTCTTGAAACCTAAGTTATATACTATGCTTCTTGAAATATAAGGTCTGTATTAAGGTGCTTCTATTATTCCATATATTTTCGATCAGTTGTTTTCTGTTTAAAGACAAAGTTTCGCCAAATATATAATTTACATTCTGTCAGGTATATATTGTATGCGGTTTTAAGACTTCGCTTAGCTATTAAGTATAGAAGAGAGTATATAAGAAATTGAACATAGAACAGGCTGTGATAGACATAGTTTCTAGATGATAATGAGGTGGCGGGTGGGAGGGCTATGCTGGTGACATAGGCATTCATATTTGGGGTAAGAATGGTCGTGAAAAGAAAATCAGTATGCAAGAGATGGGACTCAAGATAAACGTACCCAAAACTATAATATGGAATTGGAATGAAAGCAACATGGCACCTTCCCTAAAATATGGCACCTTTCCTATAATAAAAATTCAGAATGCGGAATTACTAAATACTAAACAGTACAGATACCTGCATGGCTCAGCTATAACAAATTTATTATAGGAGACATGGGAATCTTACTTATTATAAAACCCAGGTTGTGTGTGTGTGCGTGTGTTTCTGTAGGTTTATATATTGGATCGGATTTCCTACATTTTTCAATCGATTTCAACAAAACTTCACAGGACTACGTAAAATTACCTTGTGGTGGTTCTGACAGCGTCCAAAATTGGAAAAACACAATTGTTTTTGCACGAAATCAATTTGAAAACACGATTAAGAGGCATCACGAGAATGAAAGGGGGACAACTCATATCGAGTTATACTTAATATAAAACCAAGGTTGTTTGTGTGTGTGCGTGTGTGTGTGTGTTTGTTTATATATGGGATCGGATTTCCTACATTTTTCAACCGATTTCAACAAAACTTCACTTTTTTTGGCAGGTAGTGTTTCTTATTGTCTTGCACACTTTTTTCTTTATTTTTACATTCAGAATGCTTTAAAAATTCTATTTACAAGACAATTGTTTATAATAAAATTCTATTCAATCGGTAGACTCATAACGATTGAAAACAATGTTTTTGTTTGAGTTTGGGTTTGAAAATTCGTGAAAAAAAAACCCCCAAAAAACAAAAACAAAACAAAAAAACTAATTAAGACATGCGTGTCCGTCAACCTTAAACAATAATCTTTGTCAATTTTATT